TACTTCCTCGGCCTACCCAAAGCGCAATACACCCTCCCCGGTTTCCACGTCTCTTCGCTGCCGATGGATGGTAGGTTCGCCACCAATTCTCTACACAGGATCTCAAGTCGGACCTCTTGACAGTCCCGCGGATCGAGCCCGCGGAGCCGCCGCTCCTCCCCGCTCCATCTTCGCCGGAGGTCGTCCTGTTCGTAGGTTACCCGGCCCTGGGCAAGTCGTCGTTCTTCCGCACACAGTTTGAGCCTGCGGGATACGTGCACGTGAACCAGGATACGCTCAAGACGCGCGACAAGTGCGTCAAGGCGACGGAGCAGGCCTTGAAGGAGGGGAAGAGCGTCGTCGTCGGTGCGTCCGGGCGGGCTCGCTGAGAGATGAAAGATATTCACCTGGTCGGGAACTAGATAACACGAATCGCGACAAGGCCACCCGGCAGTACTACCTCACCCTCGCAAAGAAATACAAGGCCGGCGCAAGGTAACCGTCCACCCAGCCCCTCAGTGTCCCACGCTTTACACCCAACTGATCAATACTCTCCTTCCCCCTCTCCAGATGCATCTACTTCACAGGCACGCTCGAGCTCGCGTGGCACAACAACCTCTACCGCGCGTTCAACCTCCCGCCCTCGCACGCCGAGCCGAAGCGCGCGCTGCTCCCGTACAGCGCGTTCACGGGCTTCCGCGCGGACTTTGAGGAGCCCGGCGGGGAGGAAGGCTTCGCGGAGGTGCGCCGCGTGAACTTTGTGTTCGAGGGCGGGGAGGAGGAGCGCAGGCGGTGGGGGATGTGGCTGCAGATTGATGGCAAGTAGGGAAGTCGGAAGGGGGCGCGGTCGTGGGGGGTGTACGGTATTTTTTTAACCTTATGGCTGACTCTCTCATCCCTCCTGCTGGCTGGCAAATGGGCGAGCGACCTATCTGGTCAAGTTGGGGAGAGATTTGCAGAGTAGACACGGAGGTTGATGCACCACCCCGATCTACGTACATATATTCCGTTCGAAGGCTGTAAGATCTGCCCGCAACGCTCGCTCGGGAACGATGCAGATACAGCCCGTCGTAAGCCAATTCGCTCCTCAAGCACAGGCAGACGATGATGATGGACCGAACCCATGTTGCGCCATGTAGTAGAACAATGTACTGTCACAGAGTCTAGCGAGGGATGCTACTAAGCGGCATAAAATACGGATGAAGTGGAAAACGAATGCAGTGGACAATGAATGCGACAGCGAGCGACAACCAACACGACAACATCCTACACACGCACACCCCCGCCTCCCACCGCTCTATCGTCATCAAGCGAGAAGTCCGTGCGGCGAGGCGCGCGTCTACTGGTTCGCGCATTGCACGCGCGGCTGGTCCTCGTCCTCGTCCATCGCGTCCTCGCCCGACGCGCGCTCGCGCTGCCGCTGATCGACCTCGTCCATCGTGACCTCCTCGAGGAGGAGGTTTGGCGGGAACTTCTCGACCGGCTGCCGTGGCGGGAGCACCTTCTCGAGCAGGGGGATGAGCTCGGGGTCGATGTGGTCGGGGAACTTGACGGATATCCGGACGAAGAGGTCGCCCGGCTCGTGGTGTCGTTGTGAGGGCATGCCCTGGCCGCGGATGACCTTGAGGTCGTCTGTGGGAGAATTTCGTGTCAATGATCGGGGAACCGAGGAGGATGGGCGCACGGGTCACGTACCGTCCTTGAGCACTTCTCCGGGAGGGATGTTGACGATCAGCACGCGGTCGTCTAGATGCCGGATGGCAAACTGGCCGCCGCCGAGCGCGGTGAGGAGGTCGACCTCCTGCTCGTAGAAGAGGTCGTTTTCCTGGCGCTTGAACCGATCATGCGGCTTCTCCTCGATGACAATGATGACGTCTCCGGGGGTGACGCCCGGCGCCTGGTCGCTCTCGCCGCGGAAGGTGATGGTCTGGCCGCCGCGCATACCCTTGTCGATGTGGACCTCGAGCATCTTCTTTTCGGGGATGACCTTCTTGCCGTTGCACTGCTTGCAGCGGTCCTTGGGGTTGATCATCTCGCCCAAGCCGTTGCAGTCGTCGCAGGGCTGCTGGAGCTGCTGGATCATCGGGCCCATCTGGCGGAGGGTGATCTTGATGCCGCGGCCGGAGCAGGACGTGCAAGGGCGGACGGCGCCTTCTTTGCCCCCCTTGCCGCTGCACTTGGGGCAGATGACGTTGCGGGTGAGGGCGAGCTTGGTCGTCTTGCCCTTGTAGAGGTCTTCGAGGGTGACATGGATGCGGTGGACGAGGTCTTTTGTCTTGCGGGGCCCAGGCGAACGGCCGCCTCCGCCTCCGCCGAAGAAGCCACCACCACCGAATAGTTGACTGAAGAGATCCTGCGCGTCGCGAGCGCGTCAGCACCGCTCTGAGAGCTTTCTGAAAACGACGACGAGATGCGTACCTGGGGATCCATGCCACCCATGCCACCCGCATCGCTAAGACCTGCCTCTCCTCGTGCATCGTAGACTGAGCGTTTCTGGGGGTCGGAGAGCACTTCGTATCTGAAGCGGGGCGAGAAAATAGGTCAGAATGCGAAGTAGGGGGAGAATGGATGATGAATGGGATGACGTACGCGTGGGTCACCTCCTTGAAGAGTTCTGGGTCACCGCCCTTGTCTGGATGCAGCCGTAGCGCCCTGAGAGATGGTGGTTAAATATGATCGGACCGGGGAAAGTGGGTAGGAGGCTTGGACGCACTTTTTGCGGTAGGCCTTCTTGAGCTCTTGTTCTGAAGCATCTGGGGATACCTCGAGGAGGTCGTAGTACTTGCTGCGGGACGGTCAGAGACTGAATGGCATGGGCGCGTGTACGGGGCAGAACGTACGTTTCCTTGACCATGGCTGGGTCGGAAGGAAGAATGCGGAATCAAGGGAGAGGTGAGGGGGATGAGAAGAAGAGAGCTGGCTGAGAGAGCTGGGAGACGAAAGATGAGGAGGAGGAGGAGGAGGAGACTGAAGACGATAAAAGCGAGGACAGCCATCGAAGGCCATCGAACTTCCCAGAACCTTCCCTCCTCATCCATCCATTTATGGTAATCACTCCCTGCATCGATCGCGCCTCCTTCCTCACCCAGGCTGCTTTCCCTGCTTCTCACACATCCCAGATGATATATACAACAAACATACAAATGCTTCTACCGCACTCCTACAGCCCCTTGCTCACGTCGGGGTACACGTCGAACCGCCTCTGCGTCGTCACCGGTATCCCTGCCCGCGCCTCCTCAAACACCTTCGGGTCTGTGGGGTCATCATCCACTCAGTCAGCACTCGTGTCCCGACTCTTCTCGAATATATCCGCGCTCGGCCTTACCAATGTGCGCGTACACAATGTCCTCTTCATGCTCCGTCTCCGCAATCACCTTGCCCCTGCAAACTCGCTCGTCAGACATCCTCCGCCCAGGCTCGCAAATGAGCGTTCTTACATTGGATCGACCACCATCGAGTGACCCCACTGCATCAGTGAACTCTTAGCATCTGCCTGCGTCCGGTAGTCGTGTCATCTAAGCAACTCACCGCGTGGTAGCTCTGGTTTAGGTCTCGTGCTGGACTGCACATCGCAAAGTACACCTGATTGTCCACCGCTCTGGACACATCATCAGCCACCAATACCCGTTGATTCACCTTGCATACTGACCTAGCACGCTGCAGCAGCTCCCAATGCAACGGCCCTGTCGTCGTGTTGAAAGCGCTGGGATATATAAGCATATGGCAGCCTGGCCGGCGAGCACATTAGCATCCGATGGCCCAGTGTCCAAGCGCAGCGATGAAGTGACCAACCTCTCCTCGCATTCGTCATCGCGAGCTCGGGGAACCGGACGTCATAGCAGATCCCCAGGCCGATGCGCGCAAACTCTGTCTCATGAGTGAACGCGTGTTCCTGCACACTTGGGACGTGCCGTTGCCTTACCCGTATCGAACTGGTTGACCGTGTTCCCCGCGCTCAGATTCTCGCTCTCCTACATTAATGAACGGTGTGTGAATACGGCGCCAAGGCCCGGGGAAGAGGGAAATGAACCTTGAACTTGATCTTCCCGGGGATGTCGATGTCGAAGAGATGCACTTTGCGGTGCATAGCGACGAGCTCACCTGCCGACGTCAGTCCTAGGAGTATGTGCATGGCAGGGTGGAGATTCACCTTTTGGCGAGTAGACAGTAGCAGTGTTGTAGAGCTTCCCGGTACCCACCTCACGTTCGGGGATCGAGCCTATGCGATGTAAGTGTATGCACCGACGTTGCGTCGCGGCAGCATACCTCCAATGAGCCAGACACCCTCCTCCTTGGCCGCGGCGGAGAGCATCTTGACGCTCTGGCTCTCTGACGATGCAACGTCATACGGCTGCCCAGGTGTATACGCGATCGTCTCCGCGTAGACCGGGAAGTGCACATGTCCGTAAAGCGAGTTGAAGCATTCCTACCAGACGGTATCCCGAGAGATATGACATTCGTTGAACCTTTACAGGAGTGTTTGAGCTCACAGGCAGGACGACGAGGTCGGGCTTGGGTTTCGCCCCGCCATTACCACTGGCGGCCTTCTTGATCATCTCCCGTGCATGCTTGAGGTTCGCTATCACCCCAGTCAGTCTCGATAATGCATGGATGTCCCCATAGCTCGAGTGCGGACACACCATCCTTGTCCGGGCCGACCTCGCCCAGTTGGATAAGGGCGAGGTTGAAGGGCTTGAAGGCTGGGGCGGAAGACATGGCGCGGCGGGCGACGGAGGAGGACAAGGTGGAAGAGGTGGTCCTGGAAAGCAGGCGGAGCATCCGTGAGGCCGTCGCGCAATCCGCCTGTGACTGACTGTATCGATGTACAGCTGTAGTACTTACAGCTACATTGGTAGTACTACGGTACCGTGTTTACCCTGGGCGTGAGTGGGAATAGAGATAAGATAAGATTGGCCTCGATCGGGATTATGATGATCTCAATGAGATAGCGATCTATGCGAGTTGCCGCACTCCCGCCATCCCACATGGCACAGACTTTCATGATTGCAACAAACCACAACGCCGGGATAGCTCAGCTGGGAGAGCAACAGACTGAAGCAGCGCTCAATGCTTGTGTTCTGGAGGTCGCGTGTTCAACCCACGCTCCTGGCATTCTTTTTCTTAATTATTCTTTTTTTTTGGTGGAGCGACAAATGCCAGTACGTGCAGTAGTCCAGAGGCTCGTCGTGCACGATTCGTGGCTCGCTGATGCTTGCCCAGATGCTATGTCCGGGTTCGCATGATCTACACCGCAGGGAAATGCTGTTACGCACGTCGTGTGGGACTCAGGCATCATGCCTCATACCCACTAAAACCCCGACGTTCCTGGTCCAGTCCATTGGTAGCTCATCGGCACTGGCCAGCAACGGTTTCCATACGCCTTCCAGTTCTGAGGGGCTCAGCGACCGCTTAGTCTGTTTTCTTGACGTCACCCATCTGTCCATTCGCAACCTCCCATTAATCGTCGATCTCCACCTTCTCTTAACTTCTTGTTCGGCAAATCTCGCTCCCTCAAGTTTGATCACTCTCTCACATCGCATCTTCCAAATGAAGTATGCCGTTTCGGTCATCAGGATCGTCCACCTTGCCTCCACTAGGCTCATTCTCTGGCCCTGTTGGTTCCTGAAGGTTACGCATGGGCTTCCGACTACCACTCCCCAGTTCGGCTCAATCCATCTCTCTCCGGTGGAGGTCCACAGGTTCCTCGTAAGCTTCCAGGCTAGTGTCCGTTCTTCTGATTCGCATTCTAATAGTATGTGGTCCATGTCCTCTATTTTGTCGCAGATCCGGCACTTTGCTCGGGTCTTCAGTTCATCCGGCATGCCATCCCTGAGCCAGTAGTCGCCTATTCTGAAAGCCTGGTGGGTTACTTTCCACAGGAACTGCTTACACTCCTGCGTGACATGCTTTCCCTCAAGAGCCCTCCAGATTGCCTCGTCTGAGGGGGCATAGTTGCACACTCTTTGCACATCTTCTACAATCCGCTCAATGTTTGCTTTGGTATTCCTTCTTTGCGCAACTGCCTTCCCTTTCCTCTGTCTGATCTCTTTGTAGGCTAGGCTTTGCGACATGCTCATTATTTTCGCACCTGACAGTCTGAGTTGTTCTGGTGGCTCCATCTTCCATTGTGCCGTCGGTTGCTCCTTCTCAGCGCCCTGCGCTGCCAATCTATCCGCTCCTTCGTTCCTCGGGTGGCCATTGTGTCCTTTGACCCATTTGAACACAACGTGAGCCTTCCTAGCCCTTAGGTTCCCGACTGCCATCCTCAGGAGATCGCCATTCTGAACTGCTATGTAGCCCGTGTCCTCATTTACTTCCGCCTGTTTGGTTAGGGCATCAAGTGTCGTTTTGGAGTCCGATTCAATCACCAGCCTCGTACGTTCGTCCACCGATTGCGCTGCCAAGATTATTGCCGCTATTTCTGCCGTTTGGTTTGACTGTTTGAACCGGGCCGGGACTCTTACTGCCGCGTTTCTCTCATCCGTGTCATTGATGTATAGCCCTGCTCCAGCTTGCGCGTTCCTTTCACCATTCTTGTAGCAGGAGCCGTCCGTTCCAACCGCCAACTCGACACCATTCTCGTTTAGCCTCATGTCTGGCCTTCCATCGCCTGGTCGGTCTTCTCTGGTGAAGATTCTAAACGTTTCCGCCGTTGTTTTCCCTGTGGTGATAGTTCTATCAAACAAGACTCCTTCCTCACACTGCTTCTCGCCCGACGCCATGGCCTCGTTCTCATAGTCCATCGGCTGGACGGTTCGCGGGTCCCATTTTGCTGGTAAGAGGTTGAGGATGTCAATTGCTTTCCTTCTACACTTATTCGGGTGCGCACACCTCGCATTCACTATGCACACTTCGCAGGCTTTGCACCCGCACCTGTCGCTGTCACAATGCCGGGCTCCAAACGTTTTCACCGCAAAGGTTTCAAAATCTCCTACCAACCGTAAGTTGTGTTTCTTTCTGAGGCACCTTACCGCGCTCGAATCTCGTGTGGCCTTCCTCATCTCAGTTTCCACCGTTTGTCCGTGCCCCCACATCATTTGTTTCCTCATGACGTCTTTTGTAAAGGCTAGTCCGTCTTGTCTCAGTCCAAATTTGGTTGCGGCCTGCAACATGCCCTTCGCGACTTCTGGTACAGTCCTCATGTTCGGTGTCCAGTGCTGGGCGAAGGTGTTTCGCCGGAGTTCCTTGGCATTTGGGCATGACCTCTGCACCGCCAGGGTGGCTAGCAAGTCGTCCATTACGAAGGCCCACGTCGGTCTCTGCTCGTCTGTCATGAGGTACGAGCGTAGCCACATTATGTTAATGGCCTCATTTCTTGCTTGCAGGTCCAGGATGCCCAGGCCTCCGCTCGTCCACGGCATGTATAGCTGTTCCATTTTCACCGGCGGGATTCTGTTCTCTCCCCATATGTACTTACGTATCGCCTTTTCCAATTTTTGGATCGATGTTTTTGGGAGTGACTGGACGTCCGCTAGGAATTGCGTCAGTCCTCCTACAACCATTTGGATCGCATATCTCTTCCCTGAAATCGTCGTATGATGCTTACTCCACCTTTCTAGGGTTTCTTCGACCTTCGCAATTTTCGCTTCCCATACGTGATCGTTGTTGACCTTATTTCCAACATAGGCTCCCAGGAGTCTGATGGCTTCACCATCCTCCGCTAGTTTCGCCTGCTGTGGGAGGCCATTCCAAGTGCCAGTCTCCTTGTAATGCTTGACAACCTGCTCCCTGAAGCTCTTCGTTCCAATCGGTATGATTTCTGTCTTGGATATGTTGAACTTGGCCCTCGACGCTGAGCACCACATGTCCAGAACATTCTGGACTAGCTTAAAGTTATCGTGCTCGCTCAGGTATGTGGTTGTATCATCGGCAAATAGCGTTGCTCTAATCGCTTCTTCTAATCCTGGCACCTCGATTCCTCTCGTACCTGCCGTCCTAATCATTCTCGACAGAGGTTCTATTGCTAGGTCGAACAGCAAGCATGATAGCGGATCACCTTGTCTCACTCCTCTGTAGATCTCGAAGGATTTACTTGTCACGCCGTTAACCGCGACCGCCGTTCTCGCATTCTGGTACAGGGATCTAACCAGGTTCGTGAAGCTCTTTGGGATACCGAAGCGATCCATTACTTGCCAGAGGTAGTCGTGCGCGATCTTATCATAAGCCTTTTCTTGGTCTAGTGCAACAATCACACCATTTACTTCTGTTGCTTCCGCCCAATCGATCATTACCCTGGCCAGTTGCGTCTGGTCTCTCAGCCTCCTGCCTGGCACAAAGCCTGCTTGCGTCGGATGGATGACGTCCGGTGCTACCCTAGCAAGCCTGATCGCAAGGACTTTCGTTAGAAGCTTATAGTCTGTGTTTAGAAGCGTTATTGGCCTGTAGTTCACGATGTCGGTTCGTTCCCCTTTCTCTTTATAGATGGGTGACATCCATCCTTGGGCAAAGTCTGTTCGCTCGCTGACGCCGTATTTCTGCATATCCAGGAAGGCTTCCCTTAGGATGTCCACCACGTCCACTTTCGTTCTTTCCGGATGTCTTCTATCTTCCTTAAATCGCTCATGCATCGTTTTCCAGACCTCGTACTGGACTCCATCAAGGCCCGGTGCCGTCCCATTTTTGGCACCAATTAGTGCCTCTTCGCAGTCATCCCAGGTTATGTCACTCCCCACTCTAACCTGCTGCTCCTCCGTTAGCCGCGCCGTTACGTTCTCCATTACCTCCATGATATCACTGCTTCTGTTCCTGCCATCTGGGTCCGGCAGGCTGTCGACCTGGACTTTGTCAAAGTGGGCTCTCGCTAGTTCCGCCATACGGTCCGCATTCTCTTCATAGACCCGTTCACCCGCCACATTTACGGCTCCCGGGATTACCAGTGCGGGAATCAGCTCTCTGGGTTTCTGTTCCTTATGGAGGCGCGTCCAATATTTCGTCGGTCGTTCCCCATCTTTCCTATGCTTAGCTCTTGACGCATATTGCTGTACTTTAAGCTTACTTTCCTTACTGGCCTTCAGGTGTCTGGTTGCTGCCTCTATGTCGTCGTTCCACTCCTCCTCATTCGGGCTCTCCGCATTCTTCCTTCTGCGGAGCTCCTTTTCCAGGCCTTCAATCTCGCCCACCAGTTTTGGCATCATGGCCTTCTCCCGCTTCCTCGCTAATTCCATCCACTCCGTTTTCAGGATGTGGAGAACAATTTGCGGGTTGGATCCTACAGTACGCCCTTGCTCTCGTATCTTGCTCAGTTCCTGCATTGCTCTCACTCCGCACTCCTTCATCTCCTTCTTCAGCGCTTTGTTGCCTAGGAGCTGGAGCGGAAAGAGTGATCTCCCTCTCCCTACCTCCGGAGATCTTGGCGTTGTCATGCATACCGATACCAGACTGTGGTCCGTTCTGACACCCACTGGCCGAATGTCCCAGTTTCTCGTCCATGGGAAGACATCGCTTCTAACATATATTCGGTCTAGCCTCGACATCGCACTTATTCCATTTGATTTCCTGAAGAAGGTGTAGTCTTTCTTTGTCGGATACGTCATCCTCCACCCATCCGTTGACATCAAGTTTAGGCTCAGTTTTAGGTCCTCGAGGGCTCCCATTGAGTTGTCTGATCTGTTAGGCCTATGCGGCGACCTATCCAGCTCGCTTTCCGTGACATTAAAGTCTCCTGCCATTAGGTGGGGCTTAGGAACGTCCGCGTTCTCAGCATAGAATGTCTTGACATTTTCGAAGAAGGTCTTCCTTTCAGTCTGTCCATTCGATGTGGGCGCATATATGCACAGTAAGTGTCTCATCTTCCCGTCCCGCCATTCGATTGACAATTGCAATGCCCTTCCCGGGACTATTGTTCTTACTTTAGCTCCTGCCGTGTTTATTATACTTTTGTTTAAGACAAAGGCCACTCCTTCCTTTGTTGTCGGTGTCAATGGATGTTCCGAGTGCATGATTTTGATCTTACTCGCGAATATTCTTCGCAATTCATTACACCGCTCCTCAGTAAGGTGAGTTTCCTGTACCATCAGTATTGCGATTCGCTGCTCCTTGATCATTCTGTACATTGTAGACCATTTATTGTCGTCGTGGTCCCTGATCAGGTTCCCGAAGCCATTGAGATTTAG